TTTATAAAATTACTTTTTAAAAAAATTCTGCCAACTAAATATTACAAAAAATTACAAAAGCTACCTGCCCCCAAAGTAAGAAACAGAAAAAGAACACTCATGACATAACTCAGTGGTGCAAAGAAAATGAGTGAGGTAGTTTCAATCTTGTTGACAGCTGTAGTGTGAGAGTTCGATTCTTGAGATATAGAATTAAGCTTTTTATGGACATCAATAGGGTTGGCAACCTTAATGCCACGAGCTGGGCTCGTGCTCGTGGCTCGTTGGCTCGGCTCGTTGAAATTGGGCGAGCTAGGCTCGGCCCACGAGCTCGTGGGCCGAGCCGAGCTTTGGCTCGTGGGCTCGCCTATTTTTTTTTTAAAATAAAGAATAGAATTTTAAAAATGAAAAGTGTTAAAAAATACAAATAATTTAACGAAAACAAGTTTTTATTTTTTTTATTTATATCATATTGTAATTTGTAATAATTTTTATATAGTATTAAATATTTATATAATGAAAACGAATTATTTTTTGAAATACATTTACAAAAAATATATTTTTTTGATTTCTTTTTAAAGTTAATAAAGAATAGAGTTTTAAAAATAAAAAGTGTTAAAAAATACAAATAATTTAACGAAAACAAGTTTTTATTTTTATTTATTTATATCATATTGTAATTTGTAATACTTTTTATAAAGTATAAAATATTTATATAATGAAAACGAATTATTTTTTGAAATACATTTACAAAAAATATATTTTTTTGATTTCTTTTTAAAGTTAATAAAATGTAAACTCTCCCCCTTTATCCGGGTTTGGGACCGGCTACATCAATATAAAGTAGACGGAGTTAAAAATTGTACACGAACAACTTATTGTAACGTATACAATTTTTTAAAGAAAATTAAATTTAACGATTAAAAAAATTTTGATTAATATAATTAAATCAAATATCACTTACCTGACGACATTCAATTTCAACGTATTTATCTTGCAGTCGAAAATGAGCGTCCTACTAATCCTTCACACACATTAACGCTTCCATAACATCTTCTTTCAGTCGGTTCCTGACATCAGTCAAAACCCTTTTACCTGCACTAAAAGCAGACTCCAAGCAACAGTGCTAATTGGAGGTGTCAATAGATCTTTCGCAATTATAGAAACAATTGGCCAACGTCTTTCATACTTTCACCAGAATTCAATTACTTCTTCTGAAGTTTTTTTTAATTGTTCTATCTGTTGGCATATCATGATTGAAATAATCAATTAATTCGACAGGCATCGCATTTTGAGTTTCGACCGATGTTTGATGAGATGCAGATGTAAACGACACGGCACTAGATGAACACATTGCAGTTGCATCATATCTAAATGTATTAATGCCCTGAAATAAATTCATTATTTCCGCAGCATCTTCTTCAATTTCAGCAGAAGGAGTAGGTGCAGCAGAGGATACCCGACTAACATTTGTACCCATTCTTTCCGCATACAAATCATACATTCCACATAATGTTTGCTCTAAATTCTTATAGGTGATAGGTGTATCAAGTATTAAAACTTTATTGATTTGATCAATTACGTATTTAGTTCCCGAAATATTATATCGGGGGTCCATTGTGCATGCTAAAGGAAATAACATAGGCAGTTCTTCCTAATATTTTCTAAACTTTAATTCCATAGCAATTAAAATTTCACTAAAAGTAGGATTATTTTTATATTTATGGAATGTTCTTGCAATTATATAAAGGCGTTCAAGCAACATACAGCTTGTAGGATAATAAACGTCGGATAAAATCTTTGTGGTCTCATAAAAAGATGTCAAAAATCGTTTAACTTTCAAAACTAAAATCCAATCGGATTCATTTAACATATCATCATCATTACTTCTAACATATCTATTATTATAAAAGTCAGTTATTCAATTTTCGAAACCTTCACATGATTTTAATAGTAAGTATATAGAGTTCCATTTATGACCTATGTCGCTAACAAATGTTTTAGCAGTCATCACTCCTAGTTCGGCACAAAAATCTTCAAATGCTTGTTTTCTACTAGGAGAGATCGTAATATATACTAATGCATTCCTAATCTTTTGAAATTCATCCTTTATATGTTTTAAACCATTTTACACAATTAAATTCAAGATATGACACACACAATGAATATGAAACAAATACCCACCAAAATCAGGTTGAAGTGTCCTACACAATTTATCGACGACTACTTTATTAAGACTAGCATTATCAAATCTTGACTAGATGAATATAAATGTAGTGAGATTGTGAGAATTGAGAATTGGATGAATTGAAATTGTAATTAATAAACTGTAAAAATTGAATTGATATTGCATATTTTGCAGCACAAGAGAGTAAAAACTCGATACTTGATATAATAAAAGAGAGTTGAGAGGGTTGTAATCTTGGAAGAGCAATTGATATGAAAAAAAATCTTTTGGAAGAAGGGGGTATTTATAGTAAAAAAAAAGGAGGGGGGAATAATAAGTAAATAAAAGTTCAGTGACCAAACGGTCATTGAATTCAGTGACCGTTCTAGTCACTTTTGTGACCGTTTTGGTCACAGGCTCAACGAGCCATGAGCCGCTCAGCTCGTGGCTCATTATTTTTAACTCGTGGCTCGAGCAAAACGAGCCCACGAGCCTCTTTTCCACGAGGCGATCCGGTGAGCCGCAAGCCGGCTCGGCCCAATTGACATCTCTAGGCATCAATGAACGGACAAGTTCTTGTTCCCTAATTTGTTGGGGTACATTTCATGATTTATCTCTCTCGTGGTACTTCAAGGACGGGATGATGTGGATCCTCAAAATTGGGGTTCAACCTTTAAGAAACAGAAAAAGAACTAACGATAACGAAAAGTAAGTAGATGACAAAAAATTCCTCACTTTTCTCAGTTAGTCATACAAGCGTTCCAGCGACCAGTAATGGCAATGTCTCCACTGTTTCTTCCCCCCTCCGCCAACTTACTCATTTATTGAAAAATCAAACATGAATAGCCAATAGGTGGTCTTCGAAGGATAATCAAATTTTTTATAATAAATTGGGTAAATTATTATTATTATTATTTTATTTTATTTTATTTGTTGACTTTTATAGCAACTCTTTTTGTATATTTTTATTGGAATATTTAGTGGGGAGGGTGAATCCTCCTACGCATGTGTACCATTGGGTTTTGTTGTTTGTAAAAGATGGTACTGTCTGTCATTCATTTGCATGATGAAGTATAGACACTCTGACTTAAAAACATCATAACATTCTGAATTTGCATATATTAGTATTTTGTAGTAAAAATGTATGGTTAGAAGTTACGAAATAATTTTAAACTTTTGTGTAAAATTATCGCTACAAAAAAATAACTTCGGGCACGAATTTTTCATTTCAAAAGATGTAATATCCATTGTTTTAAATCTTCACCAATGAAAATAATCGATCGCAAATCCATTGCTATTTGAGGGTCAGTGATAGTTATCAAGTGTTCGATCGTAGGTAAAATGTAAAATTTTTATAAATAAAATTTTCATAGGTAAAAGGTAAACTTTTACAATCGAAATTTCCATTGGTAGCAATCTACTTCTACCAATGAAATCTTTGTTGATAAGAACCTTATCATTATCTTCGGAATTTCCGTTAGTAAAAATTCGTTGATTAATATTAGCTACGAATTTTTCGTAGGTAATATGAATTAATCTTTACTATAGAATATTTACCTAAATAATTGTTGGTAAAAATGTTGAATTTTTTTTTTAAAAAGTAATTATTAACATTCAACTACGAATTTTCAGTAGATGGTTTTTTCTTTTTTTTTTAAAAAAGATTGTTATTAAAGTTGATTAATATTAGCAATGAAATTTTCATAAGTAATATGAATTACTCTTTACCTAAGAAATACCTGTTGGTAAAGAGGTTGAAATATTTTTTGTAAAAATTGATTACCCTTCAACTACGAATTTTCGGTGGGTGAAAACAAAAAAAAATTATTAAAGTATTAATATCATCAACAAATTTTTCCGTAGGTACTATAAATTACTTTTCACCTACAGAATATCCATGGGTGAAGATGTTGCAACATTTTTTGAAAAAATTGATTAACCTTCAACTGTGAATGGTTGTAATTTTTAATTATTAAAATTAATTAATATCATCATCGAATTTTTCATAGGTAATATGAATTACTCTATACCTACGGAATATCCGTTTGTGAAAATGTAGAAAATTTTGTTTGAAAAAAATTGGTTCCATTCAACTACGAATTTTCGATAGGTGAATTGTTGATTTTTTTTTAATTATTAAACTTAATTAATATTAGAAAACGAATTTTCCGTAGGTAATATGAATTTTTCGCAGGTGAAAGTTTGAAATGTATTTTTTCAAAAAATTGATTTATATTTCCTATGGACAAAGAGACAAACGTTAAATGACTATATTAGGTAGGAAATAATCTTTAGTTAAGAGTTATCACTTCTATCAAAGAATATTTCGTTTCTGATTATCATAGTTGAAAGTCGATTACTTTTATCCTGAAATATTCAGTTTTTAATTATCAATAGATATAGTAAGTTGGGAATTATCCGTCAGTGAGAAGATGCATTTTAGTTGCGTAATTTATTAAGAGAATGCGTGATTGAAAATGAGTTGAAAGGAAAAAAAAAATTTGAAAGGGGACGGGAGCTAAATTTAGTTGTGCATGTTGAAAATAGGATGCAAGTGTGATCTATCAATAACTACAAAGTTTTTAACTGAAGTAGTTAAAATTTAGAAAACTTTAAAGTGCATAATGACGAATAATTTTCTAGAAAATAATTGTACACTTTTAACTTTGACTGTTAAATGCAAAGAGAGTTAGGTGGCATGGTTGCCGAATGACTAATGACTATATACCTACCCTACATTGTCGCGTGATCCTATAAACCAGCTTTCATTCCTCTCGTACACGCGAAAACGTGGCCCGATCAACAACGGCAAAATTTTTAGTTGAAATAGTGAAAACGAAAGTAATTGTACACTCCCAAGTTGACTGTTAAGCGCAAAGAGAGTTAGGTGCCAAGGTTGTCGAATGATCTTATAACCAACCACTATTATCGCACGATTTATAAATCAGCTTTCATTCTTCTCAATTTCACATGCAAACAAAACAATGGCCCCGGCAACATTGACCTCACTCGCACAAGAGAAAACCCTACAATCACAATTCATACGAGATGAAGATGAACGCCCAAAGGTGGCATATAATCAGTTCAGCAATGAAATTCCGGTGATATCGCTCGCCGGAATTGATGATGAAGGCGGCAAGAGATCGGAGATATGCAAAAAAATTGTTGAAGCATGTGAGGATTGGGGTATTTTCCAGGTGGTTGATCATGGTGTTGATACTAATCTTATTTCTGATATGACTTGTTTGGCTCGCGAGTTTTTTGATTTGCCGGAGAAAGAGAAGCTCCGGTTCGACATGTCCGGTGGGAAGAAAGGCGGTTTCATTGTCTCTAGTCACCTTCAGGTACGCCTCGGACTCTGTAATTAGAGTCTCCCGGTGAAATTCTTGCATGTAAACATTGAATATTGCTATCCATCGAGACCAGCAATTATCAGCTATTTTGGTGTCAATAAAAGTTGACACGTCAATTCATTTCACTTATTCCTAGAATTCAAAATAGCGTAAAGTATGATTAGACTGAATGCCAAATTTCAAACTTTACAAGCCCTACTTATTATTATTATTATTATTATTATTATTATTATTATTATTATTATTATTTTAAATATTTAATCATTCTAAAAATTGTTAAATAACTAAAATAGTACCTATCAAACATATAAATTATAAAATATTATATTTACTTAATAATTCCTACAATTAGCTAGTTATACAATTTTCAAGTTTTTAAAATACAAAAATTAGACTATTTTCATAATTTCAACTGTCAACTAAATAGGTCATAATAAATTAATATATATGAACTTCATACGTATTTTCGAAGATTTCAACAAAACGTTAAGTTTTAAAATCATAATTACATAATATCATAGACAATCCAGCTTAAATCTTATCTAAACATTTATCGAACAAAGTCATTTATCATTTTTATATAGATAAATTCATTTAAAATTTTGGAATTAAAGTCAAATAAAAGCCTTTAAAAAAAATAAAACATAGTAATAAACTAAAGTCAAATAAAAGATTTTTGAAAAAGGAGGAATAATAATAATAATAATAATAATAATAAAGTGCTTCTAGAAGTAGATTAAGTAGTCTAACCGCTTAATTTGCACTTACTTCCAAGGTAAAGCGATTTGCCAACGCTTGAACTAGACACGCTATTTAGAATACTGTCAAATCTACTGTAGTCCAGACGCTCTAGATAGAAAACATTACTAGTACACAAAAAGTTTGTTCCGATACCAACGAATTTCATGTTGCTATCATATATGTGCAAGTTTGGTTAACCTTGGAAAAAATTGAATTTTCAAACGTACAAGTTAGTATTAATAGTTTACTTAAAAGTTACTCCTTTTAAATCATCAAGTCACTTTTCACATGAATTATCAATGAATCCAGAGTTTGTCAATTGTTTTCTTGTAGGGAGAAGCAATCAAGGACTGGAGGGAAATTGTAACATATTTTTCATACCCGACCAGGGCCCGAGACTATTCAAGGTGGCCTGATAAACCCGAAAAATGGAGGCCTGTGACGGCGGAGTATAGCGACAAGTTGATGAATTTAGGGTGCAAACTGCTTGAAGTTTTGTCTGAGGCAATGGGGCTGGAAAAGGATGCTCTCACCAAAGCTTGTGTTGACATGGACCAGAAAGTGGTTGTGAATTTCTATCCAAAATGCCCACAGCCCGACATCACACTTGGGTTAAAGCGGCACACAGATCCCGGGACTATTACTCTATTGCTACAGGACCAGGTTGGTGGGCTGCAGGCCACCAAGGATGGTGGCAAGACATGGATCACCGTTCAGCCCGTGGAGGGAGCCTTTGTGGTCAATCTTGGGGACCATGGTCATGTAAGTATTGAGCTTCTAAAACTATATCAAGCTCCTGATTGACAACCACTTTTTAGTGAAAACAAAATTTTGAGTAATATTTTTCAGGGGAATGTGTGGTTAAAAAATATGGAAAATATTTTGGATTTACGTACAAAATATTTGATTGTGGAGTGATGTATTGGTGTTTAATAAGCGGTCTAGGTGGCATCGCTAGTGTCATTAAATTATGCCCCTGTTTGGGCCCTATTAATTTCTATTACATTACATTACATTTTTCTCTCTTATTTTTAATCACATAATCTTCCATAAAATAATATTATATGTAAATCGAAAATTTTTCCTTCTTTTTCAATCACTTATTTTTCAAAAAAATATTATTCCACCAATTTTCAATTCTACAAAATAGGGGCCAAATGGGGGCTATATGTTCAATTATCTGGATCTATCACATTTTAACACTTACATTGGTGCTCTAGCATCAGTGTGCTATATATCATTATTCAAAAAAAAAAATGTTGAACCCCAACCTTAAGGGCCCCCACGGACTCTTCCCTGGGCCATCGTGGAGGAGGTAAATCGCAGGATGTGCCTCCCAGAAGCCAGGATGGAGAGCACATGGATAGGCCAAGGCTATATGGTAACTCCCGCTTGCAATAAAATCAATTCCACCTTGCGGGGAATCGAACTCTGCACACTGCCGCGCTGAGCCCTATCCGCCCTCCCCTTTGCCACTGGGAGATATGTCCTGGGCACTGGCGGATCCAGCACCTGGCGAGCACCCGCGGCCGCGCGTGCTGGATCCGCCGGCAGTCATTTTTTTTGGTTGAGAATAGATAATTTTTTAGTTTATATTTCTGATAATCATTTCCCGTTCAATTAATCCTTCTGGCCAAGGTGGTCAGTTCCGGTTTTTACATCTTCCAGGTCACAGGTTCGATCCTTCATCAATCAATTTTTGTTGTTCAATTTTTTTAGTTTTACAATTTTTACCAAAACTTAATGGAATGAGGAGGAGGGGATTCAAACTTGGAGCTATTGCTAAAATTGTTAATGGTCTGACCATTATGCCAGCTCTTGATATGTGATAATGGGTTTAACAAATTTATATATATTAGATCTTACCTTGGTTTAATGCAAAAATACAAATTTGAACCCGTGCTCTTCTTTTGAATTATATAAAACTTGGCAACAATGTCATTTGATGAATATAGTTTATTATTTTAACAAAATTATATATGTTGAATTTTAACAAAATAATTGTTATGTTTAAATTTTAGGCCTTGTATGATTCTCATTTATTTCAGAATATATTTTTCTCTCTTTTATTTTCAACCATATATTTTTTAATAAAATAATATTATACGAAATTTAAAACTTTTCCTTATTTTTAACCACATATTTTCCATCAAATCACTGTTTTCCAAAATGCATTTTTTGCCAAAAAAGAAATACATCAAACGAGCTTGTAATATTTTATTGGGCTGACGGTCGGCGGTCAACGGTCGCTCGTGCTGACACAAAATCCTGGATCCGTCACTGGTCCTGGGGGCATATATCATTATTCATTATTATGTAAATGTGTAGTTGAAAATAAGTATGTAAAAAAATGAAATAAAATAATAATAATAATTCAAATAATGGTTGTCAATCAGGGGCTAAATATGCATTTTCCCTAATCTCATCATTCAAAAAATTGGAAACACGGAGTTGGTAAGTGTAACATTGATATTGTAGCATAGAAGAAGGCTTTTTAACAAAAAAAAAAATTGTTGGCTTCATCTTGTCCATTCCTATTGTGATTTACATGATTAAATTCCTTGCTCATATGACAGTATCTAAGCAATGGGAGGTTCAAGAATGCTGATCATCAAGCAGTAGTGAACTCAAACTGCAGCAGATTATCAATAGCAACTTTCCAGAATCCAGCTCCACCGGCTATAGTGTACCCACTGAAGATCAGGGAGGGCGAAAAATCTGTGATGGAAGAGCCCATCACGTTCGCAGAAATGTATAAGAGGAAAATGAGTAAAGATCTTGAGCTTGCAAGGCTGAAAAAATTGGCTAAGGACAAACAAATTCAAGAACAGGAACTGGAGAAAAGTAACAAGCAGCTGGGAACTGAACCAAAGGATCTTGAGGATATTCTTGCTTGATCAAAGATTTTCTTTTAAATTCAAAATATTGGTTGCAGAAATAATAGTATGGAATTAGATGTGAAGTCATGAGTTTGTGTGATTTATTTTACAGAGATTATGTCTATTTGTCTATTAAAGATCATGATTATATTTGTCGAATAAGTGTATCAAATATATGAGAGGGGGGAACGGTTCCCTTTCCTTGATTGTTATTTATAAATAGATAGTTGGTCGAATAAATACTTTTCGTCAATCCACTAAAACATTTTCTTTTAGAAACAAAAACAAAGAAATAGTACCCTAATTATTTTGTACCCTAATTATTAAACACAACTTGTCAACAAAAATAAGATTTCAAAAAAAGAAGTTACCCTTCTACCAAGAATTGTGGAGAGCCTAATAAACTTGCAAATTTGAATGAAATTAAATTGCTCGAGATGAGATTATATGATTTTCTTATGAGTTGGAAGCATATAGTTATATTTAGTGTTAATGGCTTCTCTACTTTATCTTCTTCATTTTTCCCAAAATCGTTATATAGATAGATAGGAACGAGGCTCATAAATGGCACTAACTTCACGCTTGGCTAAGCTTAAAGTAATTACTTACCATAAATAATGTTTTATCCATAGAAGCTAAAAATAAATTACTAGTGACAATGACAACACAGGTGCATCATGCTTGTTGGCATGTCATTTAGCCCTCGTTTCAATCCCATTATCTTAATATTTATTTTTTTCCAAATTCATTTTGAATCACACGTTCTTTCAATAAAATATTTTGTACGAATATTTAAAACTTTTCTTTACTTTTTAACAACACATTTTCTAAAAATTCACTATTATAAAATTCATTTTCTACGTAAAATGGGATTCGAACATAAGCATAGCTCATCAGCTCAATTAAGTTGGAAGGACTCTCTTAATTGCATATGTTTGGTAACACAAATGAGAACATCTCATGTCACGCGCCGACCAAAGTAATGCAACTCACATATGAAAGTTTTGACCATCTTGGTAAGGTGCATGGGGGCATGAAGGGAAAAAGTTTTGGTTGGAGTGACTGGGTGACCTGGTGGTTACTTTATGGTCTCGATCATGAAAGCTCTCTTGGTGGAAACGTACAATATGGGATAGATGTCTTAGTCGAACTTTTTAGATGGAAATTGCTACTAATAATTTTTATCGTGAGGGAAACTGTATTGCAGATCACATCAAAACCTTATAGCATTGCTTCTTGTGGACAATTTCAGATTTTATTTCTACTATTTTTATAACATGCGAATATATAGGTTCTATTGATTAATCTACTTTGCTTTCATTTTGATGTATTCATTCGTTTTATATATCAGTATTAAGATAATGTGCCCCCAGAGCATATCTCCCAGTGGCAAAGGGGAGGGCGGATAGGGCTCAGCGCAGCAGTGTGCAGAGTTCGATTCCCCGCAAGGTGGAATTGACTTTGTTGCAAGCGGGAGTTACCATATGGGTTAACAGCTTTGGCCTATTCATGTGCTCTCCACCCTAGCTCCTAGGAGGCACATCCTGCAATTTACTTCCTCCACAATGACCCAGGGCAGGGTCGGTAGGAGCCCTTAAAGTTGGGGTTCAACCTTTTTTGTATTAAGATAATGTTAGAATCTATAGATGATAAGGATACTAAAAAAGTTCCAAGCTAGTGGGGTGGGGTGGGTGGGGGGCACCTATCAATTCATCTCTTATGTCTTTCGGGAAAAAAGAAAATATATTCATATATCGAGGGTTAGTTGGATAGGTAAATTTTTCATGAATTATTTTTCAAAGAGTTTCATGCAGTAGTATTATTTTTTCACCTTTCCAATCCATTATTATGCCTCTGTTTGGGCCTTATTTTCTAAACTAATTTTTCTTCGAAATCATTAAATCAAATATTCTTTTAATAAAATAATTTTGATCTATAATTTTTCACTATTTTTAAGTCACAGATTTTTCAAATAATTACTTTTTAAAAAATTCTGCCAGCTAAATATATTTAGTTTCCCAAAGAAAAAGTTACAAAAGCTACCCGCTCCCTACGTAAGAAACAGAAAAAGTACATACAAAAACCAAAAGTAAGCAGACGCCATAAATTTCCTACTTTTTTCAGTTAGTCCTTGAAGCATGCCAGCTACCAGTAATCGAATGTCTCCTCTAAACTGGTAGTCTCTACTTTGCGTTCAATAATGCACCCTTTCCTTCCCCTCCGCCAACCTACTCATTTATTTAAAAATCAAACATGTATAGGTGGTCTTCGAAGGATAATCAAAATTTTTTACAATAAATTTGGTAGATGTGGCAATCGAACCGAGCGGCTCATCGAGTTGATTGCTCGACTCGTAAAAAGACGGCTTGTGGATAGGATGAGCCCGAGCCCGAGCTTAGCGGGCCTACTCACTAGACGAGCTGGACCCGCTTGGCTTCCCCACGGGCGAACGGGTAGTGGATCCTTGCCCACGAGCCTAATATTCACGAGCCCACGAACCGACTCATAAAAAAATATCAAAAAAAAAAAAATCTCGAGCTGAGCTCATGGGCTAGTCAAAAAAATATGAACAAAAAATTCAAAAAAAATCTTCAACTCATGGACTCGGTTCGTGAGCTCACGAGCTCATGGGCCAAGCTCAACTCTTGTATTGAAAATGTATGGTTGAGAGTTAAGAAATAATTTTAAACTTATGTGTAAAATTATCACTACAAAAAAATGACTTCAAGCATGAATTTTCCATTTCAAAAGACACGATATCTATTGCAATAAATCTTCACCAACGGAAAATAATCAATCGAAAATCCACTTTTAATCTACCATGAATAGTTTGAACCGATGTAACTATAATTCACAAGTTCAACTTTCGTTAGGATTCATAACAATAATATATATTCAATCCGTGTGTAGCGAAAAATAATAATTTCACCATTATTAAAATATTCTTATTTTCATTGTGTTTTATGATTTCTCCGTTTAGTCTTCATTTTGCTTTTATGTTACTTTTAGTCAGAATCTAGTTAAGCAGATTAAAATCGGTGAAATCCATTGTATTCGTTTCATAAAACAAGAAAATATACTTATTCGTTTCTCATAATTAATCTAGTTAAGTAGATTAATTATTTAGCCCCTGTTTGATACAAATTTTAATTTTAATTTTAATCTAAGTCAAAATCAATAATTAGTTTTAACTACACATTTTACGGAATTCACAATTTTTTTTTTTTACATATTTTATCAACTTTTATCAAAATCTACTAAAACTAATTTTAATCCACACCGAACAAGGCCTTAATAAAGTAACAAAAAACCAATTGTTGACACATAAAAATTCAGCCCAAATCGAACGGCCCAAGGAATGAAGCCCAATTGGAGGATCCCCAAATCAGATAGCCCAAAAAATGAAGCCCAATCAAACAATTCAAGATGAAGGCCCAAGAACACGGTAACGTCATCGCCCAAGTTTGCAAGTCGCCCAGAATCTGAGCGAATGGAGTGCCATGCAGTTGCCCAGAGCTGTTACTCTATTCTCGCCCAAACCTTCAAGTCGCGCAAAGTCTTAACAAACATAAAGCGTTGTGGTTATCAAGAAGTGCAGTTATTAAAGCAACTCTATCACGTTCCACGATTCAACGAATTCAATCGAAAACAGTTGAACGACGAAGAGTAATGGCAGCAGTTAAAAAAGACAGTTTTCATGACAAGCTGGCCATTACGAGGAAAGTGGACAGTTGCAGAACGATCACGCAGTTTTTAGGCGGTTGATCACAAAAAAGATCATCCATGGAGTATAAAAGGGAGAAAAGACATAGTGCAAAGGACCGAATCAAAAACTCTCGAACAGAGAACATGTAATTTTAATTTCCTTAACTTAGAGTTAAACACTTTTTTCAGTAACTCGTGTGCTTGCGCCCCTTGGAGGCATTTTGTTTTTAATTTCCAATTGTAAAGTCATCGCCAATAAAAGAACACCCATTTTTGGGACTTTGTCTCAAGAGGTTTGTCCCTTACACAATCATCTGATTCCTTTTAATTGTTAGCGACTAACCCGCGCGAAACAATTTGGCACGTTCAATGGGACAGTGGTGTTTGGTGTTGAAAATACAAAAGGTGAAACAATATGTCTCAGAGATCCGATAAGGAAGCAGCAAGTCAGGGAGGAGTCCAGTCTGTGATCGAGCAAGATGAGGAGCAGCATGCCTCTTCACGAACAGATGGACAGAATCAGAGCAGCAACAGTCGTTATGAACCAATGACGGAGTTGAGTCCTCGAACCATGCGTGCGTTACTTGGAAAACTCACACAAGACGTTATTGAACAGGTAAATCTTCGAAATATTCATAATATGGAAAGATTTACCCAAAATGGGAATGTACACTATGACAACATGGCCAAACAACTAAACACTTTGAACGAAACAATGAATAAGTTAGTAGGCCAAATATGTCAACCGGTTATACCTCTTGCAAATCACTTTCAAACTAGGACAGTTGTGGGACATAATCCCTCAGTCCTAAATCCGAATCAAGGGGTAGAACCACTTTCTGGTCCCTCTACTTCAAACCAAGGGGGTACTGCAGTACCAAATCAGAACAATGGTAGTGGTACGCCTAACTTGGGGGGTAATCCAAACATAAGAGATAATGTCCTAAACAATGGACAGAATACCCCATGTGTTAATGAGGAAATAGATGTTCAGGCTAATGGTAATGGCCCTAATCATGGTAACTTTGTTGCCAATCAAGGACCAAACATCAGGCTTCATGCAAATCGGTTAACCAGCCTGTAGGAATTCCATATAATCCCAACGTCATGTTGAGGAATCAGATTATGGAAATCGTACAGAATCAGATGGCTTTTGGGGTGCGTCCCGTCATTAGGTCGACGTACACAAAGCCATATCCTGACTGGATAGACCAAGCATATCCATGGCCTAGAGGGTACAAAGTGCCAGAATTCTCACTGTTTACCGGTTTAGGAAAGGTGTCTACTCTAGAACACATAGGGCGATTCACATTGCAAAGTGGTGATGTAACCGATTACCATAAAATGAGGCTTTTCCCTAGTTCGTTAACAGAAGTAGCTTTCTCCTGGTTCATCAACTTGCTAGCGAACTCTGTTCAAACATAGCAACAATTGGAACAGTTATTTCACGCTCAGTTTTATAAAACTGAGTCTGAAGTCACTTTGGCTGATTTGGCGAATCTACGTCAAATGCCAAACAAATGGGCAGAAAGTTT